TAATTCTGATGTATGCATATATAGTATTTGAAAGATGTTTACCTTGTGACCGAGAAATTGTTGCATCATTTTCATGGAAGCTTTAGTCATTTGGTTGTAAATTTTCTTTTCAGTTCCCTCTTGTTTCTCGGAGTGGAAGAATCCGTAAGTTGTTGATCAAAGCGAAGGATGCAATGATTTCGATTATGAATCTCTCTTCCATTCCTGGTGGACCAGAAGCATTTGAGCTAGCTGCAAAGTTTTGCTATGTAATAAATATCGAGATTACGTTGTCGAATGTCGCCATGTTAAGATGTGCATCGCATTTCCTGGAGATGACAGAAGAGATTGCGGAGAAGAATTTGGAAGCTCGGACAGAAGGGTATCTGAAAGACATGGTACTCCCAAACATATCGAGCTCGATATCCGTTCTTCACCGCTGCGAAAACCTGTTGCCTGTATCTGAAGAGATCAACCTGGTTAATCGGTGTTGCGGAAGACGGCTATCGGATAGAGCAAAATCGCAACTGATAATTTGAGAAAATAAAAATGAAGATAAAGAAGACACAAAATTTACGAGGAAAACCCTTAAATAATATAGGGTAAAAACCACAAGCAACTGTAGAAGAATTTCACTATGAAAAAATAAGAATTACAACTTCTCTCTATCTACCAAGGAGAAAACAATGATAATTCTCTCTTGATAAAAAGGAAAAAATAACTCACAAGAAACTCTCTAAATTCTCTAGTATTGGAAGAAAGCTAGAATGCTTTGGGATGATTTTGAAGCTAAATGAGCTAGGATATTTATAGTAGAAGCTTTAAGGACTAATCTTGAAAATACCTTAAATTACAATGACTAAATGTGAGATTTTGTCATGTCACTTTTCAATCATTATTAGTGTCAACTATAAACTATTATTGTTGTCAACTTACAATACATTATGAACCATTATTATATATTATACAAATATTATTAATTGTATGACAACTAATAATTTTGCATAACTACTAATAATAGGCTTATCAATGCAATTGCCAATAATGCATGCAAAGAGCAGCTCACTTCGAAACTTGATCACAACTTCCCATCAGAAGCTATGCCGAACATCGAACCGGAAACACCATCCGACTGGTGGGGAAAGTCTCTGGAGGTTCTTAATCTTGATTTCTTCCAACGAGTTTTAACGGCCATGAAGTCGAAGGGTCTAAAACAGGACATGATCAGCAAAATTTTGATAAATTACACCCATAATTCTCTTCAAGGTTTGGTCGTCAGGATCATCACTTGGTAAGGGGAAGCCTGTTGGACTTGGAGCTGCAAAAGAAACAAAGGGTAATTGTTGAAGCCATGGTTAGCTTATTGCCGACTCAATCAACGAAGAGTTTCGTTCCCATGGCTTTTCTCTCCAATTTACTGAAAACCGCAATGGTCTCATCGGCATCCACTTCTTGCAGATCGGATCTTGAGAGAAGGATAGGCTTGCAACTAGACCAGACAATTCTTGAAGATATCCTAATGCCAGCCAATTCACATGGAAACAATCATACAACCTTGTATGATACGGAGTCAATTTTAAGGATCTTCTCCATATTTTTGAACTTGGATGAGGATGATCCCATGAGAGATGAAAGTGAAATGGCATATGATTTCGACAGCCCGGGATCTCCCAAACAAAGTTCAATCCTCAAAGTATCGAAGCTACTGGACACTTATCTTGCAAAAGTTGCACTGGACACAAATTTGCTGCCATCAAAATTCATAGCACTTGCAGAATTACTTCCCGACCATGCTCGCATCCTTAGCGACGGATTATACAGAGCTGTCGATATCTTTCTCAAGGTGAGGATTTCACAAGAAAACAGTAATAATTAGTCTCATAGCTAAGTCATCTTTGGGAATTCTTAGAACCGTTTTCTGTTTTGTTTTTTACAGGTTCATCCGTACATAAAGGATTCTGAACGATGCAGACTATGCAAAACCATAGATTGTCAGAAATTATCTCAAGAAGCTTGCAGTCATGCAGCACAGAACGAAAGCTTACCGGTGCAAATGGCTGTCCAAGTGCTATATTTCGAGCAAATCAGGCTTCGGAACGCAATGAATGGGAGACACAATCAGTTCTTTTTCGGTGCAATCAATGGCCAGTTCCCTCAACATTCGAGGAGCGGTGCAGGGAGTGGAGCCATCTCGCCGAGTTGCATCAGTTAGAAGACAGAACTGAGAGCTGAAACTCGAAGTTGCAAGGACGAGAATGAGGCCAACAGACCTTGAAAAGGATCACGTGTCAATGAAACACGAGTTGGTCAGGTCTCAGCCTGCTAACAAGATATTCAAATCATTCACCAAGAAATTAAGCAAGCTCAAGTCTTTATTCAGGATCAACAATCTGAAGCCTTTAGGGGTAAACAAATGCAGAATCTCGGTTCTTGATCCAAAGGAGAAGGCGTCACTCGATATCATAGTTAACTAGGTGTGGATAAACGGAATGAAGGTATAGCTCATTATATGTGCATGTAGTGTGGTACTTTGTGGCCTAATTGCAGGGTTGATAGTATCTATATATATGATTTTTTTCTTGAGTGTTGGATTCTGGGGTTGCATTGTTTAGTGAGATCATTGCCTCGACATTTTTTAAGAGTCTTGAGAGAAGGGGCATTTCTGAATCAAAATTTGTGAATCCAAGTAGACAGGAACAGCTCTATGCCATTTCCTTTATTAACATTACGAGTTCAACTTCACTTGAATCTCTATCTTTTAAGAATCTTTAAAAATTTTGGTGTTAAATAAATTGATACTCAACCGATCAACTTTTAAGAATCACTGTGCTTTTTAAGTTAATATATAGATCCAACAGATGAATTATATTGGAGTTGCAACTGCTTTGTTTCAGATAATTTATCTTAATCTGGGAAAACATCAAGGAAGATGAACTGTTTGTCATATGTTTGGTTCTATCAATTAGTAGCTTCGAAAGGCCAAGCTTGCATCAGAACGGTCATGAAAAGTAGGAACTTGAGATGGTAGTTTCGGTCTACAAGAACAGCTTCGAATTGCTCTCACCACCAGCCCCGAGTAGCAGTTGTAGTCATTGGGAAAATTATCATCAGAAGTCTTCATCGGGTTACGGCCCTCCGAGTGAATCATCAAATAGTCTCGTTGCATACAAGGCAGAAGTAAAAAGAATATGGAACACAGGTACTTTCTCAACTGATCCCCGATGCCGGGTTGCAAACAAATAAAGACCATGACCGTGCATTGAATTACATGCAAGCCTAATGGCATAACCATGGATTCAAGCATTCAGCCCGATAGCACACTCTATGCTGTCGAAACATCCACAACGAATACCCGATTCACTATGTAAATCCAGGGCTCATGGCAGATACCTGGCGGGATCAAATTCGAAGCAGATAACCACCTGATGGTACGAGCATATCATTACTCCTTTTATTCCCATTTCCCAATGATAAAAAACAGGTTTTGGTCATTAACAAGCAGAGCTTCGTTGTACAATCATTTATGCCGAATCCAGGTAAAGGAACACCTGAACTACATAACAAGATATCCTCGCTGTACTGGGAAGAGCAAAAGCCAATAACAGAAATGGAACCATTTTGTCCAATTGTTTCGAGTTATATAATCTTTCATCAGTATACACGAAAAATCCCACCAAAAGGCAAATTGGATAACTTTATTCAGAACTAATAGCAAAGTCTACATAACAAGATAAACACCAAGCAAAAGTTTTTTACTTTTACCATTCTCTTCAAAGTTCCTTCTATAAATCACACGCTGAAAAGAACACACCCGCATGATGATTGTTTACCTGTGAATGTAATCTTTCAAAACCCCGTTTCTTTGTTCCACAATTGCATTCCTTCGCCAATTTTCGACGGCTCTAAGAAGAGTAGCGTTTGCCTCGCGAATTTCTTCAGCGGAGATTTTGTGCTCGATAATCCCCAGGGGTCCAGGTTGTAACACCTTGATTACGGTTTCCATTTCTTGCTCCAATTGCCTGAAAAAAATTATCAGCGAAAAAAGGAGACAAAAAAGAGATTCAATCTTTTTCGAGACTGGGAATTCGGAAATCCTTAAAAAAAAAGAATTCAAGGATGAAATTTTTATTACCGGAAGAGCTTCGGAATGGGCAATATGTTGCCTAATTGAGAAAGAGAAGCCCGCATCTCGTCCGCACCGTCCCCAATTCGTAAGATCGAACTAGAAAAATGGAGGTGGATTGTTCTAGGGATGGTAATTTAAGCCGAAAACGACGGAATTAGATCCGACCCGATTCAATAGTATCGGAATTTTTTTTTAAAAAAAGTTTGAATTCGGGTCTGATATGATTTTTAAGAGATTGAGGTCGGATCGAGTTCGAATACAAGGTTAGAAAACTTCGACTTAGAGATAATAATATAATTCTTAAAAAAATATTTTTCAGTTAAATCTTTATTGTTTAATTGGTCAAGACGAGTCGGGTCAAATTTATATTCTAAAAATTTAAATCGGTCAAAGTCATACGAAAGATATATATTTTTCAGATTAAATCGACTCTAGTGAAGAATATATAATTTATAAATCAAGTCAAATTCAAATAAAATATATATTTTTAAATCGGATCGAATTGACCAAAACCGAACCAACCCGTTGCGATACTAATTTTTCAGCCTCCGAGAGGAAACAACTGAACAAGCAAACCTCCAGATTTCCGAGGTTAAATTATGTTTCTGATCCCTATAATATTCTCAATTTGTGATTTTGCTACTAACTTAAGTTAGCATAATTTAGTCCCTACTTTTATAATACCCTTAGTCCATATAGTTTACACTTTAGGCATTCTGGTTAGCATAATTTACTAAACACCTTTTGGCGGTGTTTGCACTTCCATATTCATCAATTACTGCGAATAATCAAGTAATTAAATGAGCTGATGTGCTTAGCAGGTTTTAGCCAGATTAGATGACAAGAATCATCAATGCAGTACACAATAGCAGATACACCTTTATTTAAGCACATGCAAGTGAAAATACAAGTTAGTACAAGGAAAATACTATAATATATAACCCTGGTCAGCCCCAAATATGGCGTACAAGCACTCTCTGCAAAAATACGTAGGCAGTGTGACATGTACAAGAACCGAAAGGGAAACACAGATGTATCGAAACCAGTTATCACTTTATTTGAGTTAATGGAAGTATGCTCTATCTTTTAAATCCATATAGCTCCGGCCCTTTTGAGCAATGGGGCAAGCTGGTTCCTGAGTTGGAGGGACATGACTTGGTTAGCTCCTCCAATGAGCTGCTGGCCTATGAAAACAGCTGGTACACTGGGATTGCACCCCATCTGTTGCAGTGCCCTCTCTACTTGTTGCCCGTTCGGAACCTCGTCGAGCTCGTAAACTGCTGGGTTAGCCCCGAAGCCACCGATGAGAGTCTTGATGGTGTGGCTCATGCAACAAGTGGTCCGGCTGAAGATCACCACTGGCCTGTCTGCAACCATACTTACCACCACATCCATTGCTTTATGCACCAGAGAAGCGTTTTTGGTAACTAATTTGAGAGCTGTATGAAACTTTAAAACTGCTTAGGCTTGATGAAGAACTAGCCACCTCGGACACCTATTATACTGTCAAACAAACAGTGTTGAGAAGGAATAAAATCATCCAAAAGATCTTCCAACTCATATTCCCCCTAGATGATTAAATTGATAAAGACATTCATATCTCCTTACATTAAACATTGACAATATATATCTTTTTATTTTTATTTTAAATGACTGCAGTATCCTTAACATGCATATGTGCGTGCAAAGAGAGCAAAGTCTGTCCATATTCTATTCTTATTCAATTTTTATCTATCTTTTTGCGGCATCTCTCTGCTGAAGTGGAGAAAGAAGTTGGGTTTATCTAATTAATGATTCGCATAAGTTCCAAATCAAGAAAAAAAAGGGGGAAATGGAGAGAAAAGAGATGCTTACTATAAAAGCTACAAACGTAATGACCGTACAGAGAAGCATGAAGAAGATGCCTTCACATGGCACCCCATTGTTAGTGCACTCAACTATTGGAAATGCCTACAATCACTAGTAATCACCGTATGATTATGATTCTTAGTTTATGAAATGGCGGGCTAATGGCTAGATAATGATTCTTTAACATATCTTTTCCCATTTATCTGCAGTTTGACTAATGCAGATAAGGACTCCTATAAGTAAGTTCCTTAAATCATTGTGTTGATACTCCACAATAATTATCACATGGTTCATTAACAAATGGCTCATTAAGGAATGGGGTTTACTGGGCTTCATTTCATCTTCTCATCATCATGATCATGCATCTGATGCGAGATAACTTATGTTTATCATCATATTCCTCCGTATAGTTGTTTGGTGTTGAATAATTTATCAGGTCAGAATATATTCTCATGTTAGAACAACAGGATCCATCATGGTCACTTTATCCCTGAAACCCTTTCAATCCCACCACCAATTTGAATCACACCCACAGTTATGGTGCATCTGCTTATCTTCTTTGTCTGTTGATAGCATAAAAAACTCTTCACTTTTTCCAAGTATAAAACGTGTTGGAAGTGTGTATATATATATATATATATATAATATTTATATAGCATTTGAGCACGTACACGTAATATTGTCAGCAGCCAAACCTGGCTCGAGATAAAGCGAAAGGCCGGGGTCAATTAATACGTATCATTTATATATATGTATATATTTGCATGAAGAGCTACCATGCATTCGGCACCTGCATGGATTGATCTATATGCTACTAGTGATATCTGTAAGAGAATATTATGTGAAAGATATCGACTTTTTTCCTTTGCCTAAAGCACACTAGAAAATATTTCCATCACAAATGTGAAATATTCTTGATTTGCATGAAATAGAGAGAGAGTGACGATGAAGATAACAAGTACATATATACTGATATGGTGAAGAAACTGACAGTGTGGGAATGTCAACTCTTCTTGATTCGCCTGTACATATTGAAGTACTTTGAGCCACTAAAATAAAAGAACAACAATGAAAGATCATAAGTAACAATGCGAAGTCGGCTCCTGGCATCACAGCAACTTGGATTTTATTGAGGTTCTTTTAAAAATATTTCCAAGCAAAACAAATCAGTAAGATTTTGGAGAATATTTTTTTATGAAGAATATTTTCCATATATAAGGATATTTTATTTTATTAATTTGAGTTAAATACAAGATAGTATATGTTCAAAGAGAGTCTCAATTATTTGATATTGAACGTTTATACTCTGACAAGAAGTGTTTGAACTTGAGATCTTAAGAAATAACAATAATTCTTTTACTACTGAATTTGGCCGGTTCTTGTTTTATATATAACGATGAAAAGAAGACGTTTTATAGTTGTCGAAGTAAATGAAAGTTATTCTGCAAATATTAAAATGCATCATCGTCTTGAACTGCTAGCAGCATATGTGGAGCAGTTGTTTTCTTCGTTAGTTTCGACCACGTGCCTCACCATTCCATGTTTCTTAGCTTCATGGTCGACGTGAAAGTTGTCAAGCTGGTATTCACATTGTTTTAGATTATTTGATACGATTTCAAATTTTTGTTTGAGATTATAATGTTAATTTTTTTAATATTATGGATAATGTGCAACATAAATTGTAACCGGTAAAAAGATAATTTTTGTCCAAGTAGAATACTCAGTTTATCGATTTCGTCCTTATTGTATTTTTGTATTAATTTAACTTTTGAAGTTGTTCGATTGTGTTGATGTTTAAAATATTTACCATCGTTTAGGGTCTTAAGTTATGGTTAGGGCTAATGGTTTAGAGGTTAGGGCTAATGGTTTAAGGTTTAAAATTTAGGGGTTTAAGTTAGGGGCAGGGTATAGAATGATGTAATTAAACAACTTTGAGGGATAAATTGATGCAAAAATACGATAGTAGCGAAAATGATAAATTGAGTCTATTACAGAGGTAAAACTAACCCTCAATCCATTGTAATTTTATACCATCCCATTACATTTGAAATTTAAGGTTATTGTACGAACTAAGTTACCTTAGTGATAAAAGAATTGTTGTTATTTCTTGAGGTTTTGGGTTCGAGCACCAAGAATATCAAGAGTGTGAGCGGCGTAATTAACCTATATCAATAATAAAAAAAAAATCAAGATTACCGGCTATAATCTAAAATTTTGTACTAATTTATCTTTTAATTTGATTATTTTAATCACTATAATAACTTTCATCAAATAAAAGCTAAATCTAGTTAAAATGATATTTTCTGATAAAATAAAAATATAAATTTAAATCGCACCTCCTAATAAATCGAGAGCTCCTTACACAAGATTAGAATATCTAGTGCAGCCAACCACACAACTTGCTGTTAATACCGTATATTGATCTGCAACTGTGTCCCTTCGTATTAGTTTAAGCTGAAACATTCCTGAAGACTCGTCGAACATGAGACTTCTAAGAATAACATCATTGAGGTCACTTGGTACATACCCTTGTTTAGTATTGTACTTGGACGACTTATGATCTTTGCGTTATCATCTTCAACAAACATAAAATCTCCATTGATTTTGTGTCAAAGTTGCATGATTAGTTGTATGATTAGATTTATGGAATTCCATTAAAAGGGCATCCTTGTTTTTATCAGTTCATGCTGCCATTACAGTGTCTGCTCAGTATAAAGCTTATTGTACAGTTTCTATTTTATGTGCTAAGTGACCATAGTGAAACTACAATGCAAGTCAAGGTTAAAGCAAATATACCTTTATTTAAGCACAGACAGGTTAGTACAATGAAAGTACTAGTATAATAAATAACCCTGGACAACCCCAAAAATGGTGTACAAGGACTCTCAGCTAAAATATGTAGACAGACGACAGTGACACATAAACACAGAGAACAAAGGCATTTATCAATTGATTTGTTTTAATGGAACTTTATCTTTCAAATCCATATAGCTCCAGCCCCTTTGAGCAATGGGGCAAGCTGGTTCCTGAGTTGGAGGGACATGACTTGGTTAGCTCCTCCAATGAGCTGCTGGCCTATGAAAACAGCTGGTACACTGGGCTTGCACCCCATCTGTTGCAGCGCCTTCTCGACTTGTTGCCCGTTCGGAATCTCGTCGAGCTCGTAAACTGTCGGGTTAGTCCCGAAGCCACGGATGAGAGTCTTGATGGTGTGGCTCATGCAACAAGTGGACCGGCTGAAGATTACCACTGGCCTGTCTGCAACCATACTTGCCACCACATCCATTGCTATATGCAGCAGAGAAGCGTTTTGGTAACTAATTTGAGAGCTGTATGAAGCTTATTTGAAAACTTAAAAAATTCCTAGGCTTGATGAAGAACTAGCCACCTTGGACACCTATTTATACTGTCCACGAACAGTGTTGAGAAGGAATAAAATCATCCAAAAGATCTTCCTTCATATTCCCCTTGATGATTAAATTGATAAAGACATTCTTATTCACATCCAAGAGATCTTCCATCCATGAGCCATGAGATGCATTAAGATTTCGTGTATTCATACATATCGTATTCCTGTTCTGATTATCATTTTTCCATCCTAAAACTTCCTATTCCATCTCCATTTTCTTGCCTGCACCATCTCTCTGCTGAAAGTGGAGAAAACAAGTTGGGAAAACACAAACGTAATGACCGTACAAAGAAGCAAAGAAGAAGATGCCTTGGGGACCCACAAACATTATCAAGCACTGCCTCTTACACCGGAAAATAATGCAAGAAGCTGGAGATATTCCTTCACATGAAACCCCATTGTTAGTGCACTCATCTATGCGAAATTCGTACATTCCTGGTAGGGATGGCAACGGGCCGGGTTCGGGCCGGGTATTGGTCCCCCGTCTCCATCCCCGTTTAAAAAATCGGTATCCGTTCCTGTTTAAAAAACCGCGGGGATTTAAACGGGGATCTCCGTCGGGTAATCGGGGAAAACCGCGGGGAAACGGGTATCCCCGTTTAGCATAAACGGTTATTTAAACGGGTATTGGGTCGGGTATTGGGTCGGTATTGGGCCGTGAATCGGGCCGGGTATATATATATATTTAAATTAAATATATATTTTTTATTTAAATTAAATTTATTAATATTATATATATATATATAAATAATTATTTTTAATATTTATCGGGTCGGGTATCGGGGCGGGTAATCGGGTAATCGGGGCGGGGATTACCAAATCCGTCCCCGTCCCCGTTTAAAATAAATGAATTTTCCCCGTCGAATTTGGGTTTTTTTGCCATCCCTAATTCCTGGTGATAGCCTCAACCATTTAAGGATGAACCCTTACCCCTAACATTTATAATACTTAAATCCGAAACCTTAAAAAATAATAATAATTTTTTTAACAACGAAGTCACTTGATTCGTATATCTTAACGTATTTTTTTTAATGCGAATAATTTATTAGGTCAGAGTATATTCTCATGGTAGAACAACTGGATCCATTATGATCACTTTATCCCTTGCCAGCTGGAACACTTTCAATCCACCACCAGTTTGAATCACACGCACTGTTATGGTGAATCTACTTTTCTTCTGTCTGTTGATAGCCTCAAAA